TTTGCAAAAATATTTTGAAGAAATTTTTCACTGCCGCACGAATTTCAGCGCTGCACAATACGACAGTTGTTTCGTTTCCATTTGGTGAGTGTTGAACGAGAGAGAGCGCGCTGACCGAAAGTGCGAGCTGTCAAAATGCTTGCAAAAGGCAGTTACTGTTATGCTGGGGGTTGTTGGGAGATGAGGTGCTTGTAAAAGTGAAAACAAACAAGACAGCGGTTACAGCGGTTACAGCTGTTGCAGTCAGTCGGTTTGCTAGCCCACTTCGGCATTTTATTGTGTTTCGCATATACCGCAACGTCGCGCTGATACTTCGCCAGCTGTCATTTGACGTTGACAGTTGCGACGCATGCGCAATGGTAGTTTAGTATCATTTTGCCGTTTCGTTGCCAATTCATACACTTAAAAAGGTAAGCATAAATTTACACCTCTCTTCGACTCTACCGCAGTAGCCGTCCAACGAGGGGTGGCAGCACCAATCAGGCCATCTTATTACCTGTGCGTTCACCCAACCCAAACTCGTCATGTTTGTAACAGTAATTTTGCTTCACTACTACCAATACACCGTTCTACTTGTTACCCTCGCTGCTGCAGCTATCTTGCGCCTCTTTTATGTTTATTGTCATTTCTTGCGCTGGAATTCGATACAATGCACTTAATTTTAATTACAAATCTTTGATTTGACTATCTTTTTCCTTTTATTTGCGACAATTTAGAGGTGTAAAACTAAATGTATTCATTTGTTGATTTCTGGTGCATGCAATGGACGTTTGTGTGGCAGCGGTTTACAATGAAGTTTTGCCCGTTACATTGCTTTTGTTGAGCACATGAATATTGATGCGTTGGCAATAAAGTATTTTTATTGCTCAACATTTTGTAACAATTTCACTAAGTGCTTTTTGCAATCAATGCAGCTGACCGAGGGAATAACTAAAGCGCACCGTTAGCTTAGAGCGTACATAGTCGCAATTATAAAGTTAAATTGCTTAGCCATTGCATAGGGTATAAACAAAACATAATAAAAATAATAATTAGTTTCGATAGCAATTTACGGCAATCAATGAATATACCTTTCCCTTGCAACCATTTGCTACAGAGTATGATAGTTCTGCTCATTTAAAGGTTGCACGTATCGCCTAAAACCAAGTGATATATGTAGATACAGGGTTATATAGAACGGGATTTTCAATAAAAGCGCTACAAAAGTTTTTTTCAATAAAAAAAAAAACGCTTTTTGATATCAATTTTTTATTCCTGGGAAAGCACATTCTATGCCATTATTTATGCTACTCGAATTTTTTGCATAACCACCACGGACAAGCTCGCAGAAGTCCAGGCACTGAACCCAATTTTCGACGACGCTTTTCAAACTTAATTGACCGATACTGCTGCTGGCATTTCACATTCGCATTCGATACTCATACGAAGTTCATCAATCGTCACTGACTTATTGGGATAGTCCATAGACATGACGTAGCCCCACAAGAAATAGTTTAACAGCGTCAAATCGCGAGGCCGAGGCTGCCAATTGACTGAGTCATTTCGTGAGATAATACGTTCACTAAACGTGGTTTTCAATAAATCGATTGTGACATTCGCTTTGTGGGTTGTGGCACCATCATGTTGGAACCACATATTGTCCAAGTCCATAGCATCCAACTCGGGGCAAAAATATTCGGTTATCATTATTCACAGTAACGTGCCGGTCTTGATCATCATGGAAGAAGTAAGACTCAATACCGCCGCCGGCCTATAAACAGCACCAAACGTTTGAATTGTTTACTGATCAATAACGCATATTTTGCTTATTAACGAAGCCATTCAGCCAGAAAAGAGACTGATTTAGGTTTTCCTCAATTAATGCGTTACCGGCACCATTCTAGACACTACAAGTACTTCTTTGTCTCACTAACATGGGAACATTTTGTACTGTAACTGTGGATTCAAATTTTTCAACTAGACGCTCAATTGTTAATCTCACAGGACGATTATTGCGACCATTATTTGGACATACCGTTCTTAAAGTTGTGACGACTTCGAATTCAGTAGCAAATTTTAAAAACTTCGACTCGTTGTTGGAGCGTGTGCTTTCCATGATGAAATGGCAAACCTTACTGATGAGAATTGCCAGAAAAGCGGCAATAAATATGGTCTACTTTTGTAGCGTTGATATTGAAAACCCCCTAAGTGGTTCGATGTAAACAATTGTTTTGGAGATTATACTTTTGCCTTGGATCATTATCAATGTCAAATTTTTTGAAGATTTCTTGTCAATCTTGCATTTGATCGTTCCATTTTAGTGGCAGTTATTATAAATTTTATGTCCAAGAATTTATGTTTATTACAAAGATAGGCGTTTGCTATTACGTTTAACAATGATTTCAGTCAAGTAATAGTCCAGACTTCACATAACCCCACAAAAAAAAAAAGATCAGCGATGTTAAATCGCACTATTTACACTATTTATTTAATGAACTCACGAAAAGTTTTATTTAATAACTTGATTGTTGGCAGAATGGCACATAGCGCTGTCTTGTTGAAACCAAATATCGCTTATATGGACATCTTCCTATTCGGGCGCAAAAACTAATTCATCCCGACTCTACAGTGTTCACCAATGGCCGTATTCAATTGTGAAGAAATTGGAATTGTTGAATAATTGCCTAAATTTGTTACCATTTTTTCACATATAATATATTAAATAAATTCAGCATGAACACCTTCAAAAATTTTTCTAAATATTTTTTAAAAATACATTATCAATCTTTATGATTTCTATGTCAATTAAATAAAATACACTTGGAAAACGCAATCATATTTTAATAAAATATATTTTTCAAACATATTAACGAAAACCGATGGCTGGTAGATATTTAAACAAAAACAATTTGTTGGAATTCTGTAAGCGCTTCACAACAAGCGATTTCCAGCAATATTTGAATTTCAACAAGCAAAATGCAGAAAATAATAAAAGGCAAGTTTAAAAAAAAAAAAAGTTAATACAAATTAAAAAAGAAACGAATTTACTTGTAATAGTGTTCAGAAAGTGTCTGACTTTTGGCAACTAATCGGCTGGAATTACTATTATAAGCAACTCCAAGCAAGAATGGAGCGTTTAGTCGATGACGTGGAACTTGGCTTCCAGGCGCTTGGACGCAAAGTGCCCACGACGGGAAAGCAATCGCTGCGAAAAGCAAAGGTTCAATGAATTTAGAAAAAAATAAACAATATATTATAGTCAATACTTTATTTCTATAATATTCAGCGTAATGTAGAACAGCTGATGCTTCAGTCCAAGCAACGTATACGCCAACTGGAGAGGGATATTTTACGCATACGTGATATACTGCCACACAGAGAAGCCACCAAACATGACACACGGAAGGTGGAATATCAAAGTATAGATACTATAACAATGATGGAAGAGGGTAAACTTGCTAAAGATAGACCTCAACTAATTTTTGATTCGAAAGGCGACATGCAAAATTTTTTATTGCAAAGCAACGGGAAGACTACGCTTACACATGAATCTACCTCTGCAACAAAATCCATTGATGAATCGAAACCAACACAAGTTAAAGCAAGTGTTCAAAAATCTACTAAACAGACTTTAGAAGTTGATAAAAAGCTGTCAAATGACTCATCGATGACTGATTCTGCTGTATCCTTACGTGTCGCTGATGCTGATGTACCGAGATCCCTAATGCTTAGCGCTGATAAGAGCAACTAAGCTGAATTAGTGGTTTGTTCGATGAATTGTATATGATTTTGAAGAAAGACTATTTTTTTATACAAAAGGATTTACTACAGATTCTTTCACATCTTATATACATTATATAATATTAACCATAAACTATATTTTTAATGCAATTTCAATTATTTTAAGACAATTTTACTTACATTTAACTCAGTACAAAATATTGGGTAGAAATATATAAATAAATATACCTACTGATTTTAAGGTTTAGTTTTCAGAATCCTCCAGGAAAGAGAGGGTTAAAATTGAAATGCTGGAAGTGAAAATTAAAAGAAATAATTATATACTACCCCGCATCAAACATCAGACCTTTATACATTGAATTGATTGAAGGACTGCTGGAGTATACGTAAGTATTTTGGAAAGGCTTCGAGATTTCAGAAATGTTTCACCTAAGTGTAGATAGAAAGAATTATTGAGGCTTTGCACTGAGACCTAAGATCTATTGGGCCCTCCCCTATATCACATATATTCACAATGATCAATAACTCTGAACAATTCCAATACACTGCTGGGCGCGACCGAGGTGATGTGATCCTTGCCGACGCAGATGGAACCTAGGTCAAGTGTTCTGGAGTTTCCAGTTCTATTTCGCAGAGCTGACAGTTTGCGCAAGAGACTATGCCAATGTTGGACAAATGCTTTCTGAACCCGCACTGACCTGTATAGAGCGGAATTTGTCTCGGGGGAGGTTGATAATTTCTTTAAACCTTGCAAGGCTGTACCATTCCAATGAGCGTTAAGTGAAGTTGTTCGAGATAGCAGGCATTCTAAGAATATCAACTGATAGCAACATTATATCATTCAGGAATATTTGAGTACGAGAAACCTCTGTGCAAAGTGGGTGTAGCGTGATCTCACTTTTGACCAAAAGCAACGACAAGTTTAGTAATAAGCCCGAGTTTTTGCGTCGTTATGTGACAAAGTACGAAACATGGTTCGATCACTTCACTCCGAAGTCCAGTCGACAGTCATCCGAGTGAAATCGCTCCAAAGCGCACAAAAAGTAATCGTCGGCTAACAAGGTTGTAGCTTCTGTGTTTTAGTAATATATACTATAAATTGGGCTTCGACATGTTATAAAATTCACTTTTTATGTCTGAAGTAATAATAGAATGTCTTACCATAACGCCGTATTCAAAACATATATTACTCGTATTCATTTTTTGTTGCTCTTGAAACACTTCCAAAATTCCACAGTTCATTTATCATTAAATAAAATTTTTAACAAAAATATATTTTGCGAGCTTTCATCGAAAATTATACTTAAATATTACTTTATAACTAAATATATTTACTGAATTTGATTCTTACAAATGGCTGGCAGTAATGCCACCAAAAGTGTGTTAGGCGAATTGGCGAAACGTGTGCCAAATAATCAGAAGAAACAATTTCGTCATTTTCTCGATCTCAACACTGAATACAAAAAGTAAGTTACGAAAAAGCTTCAGATCATCATCAAGATCATTCATACATTTACTGTTAGGCGCGTGAATAAATACCCTGAGAAGTTGCCGCGAATCGATTGGGACTACTATCGCACGAACGTAAGGATAGAAGCCATTAAAATGGTGGATGAATTCGAGAAAAAATACGAAGAGTTGAATAAGGTGTTCGATGATCGTGTGAAATTGGACACGCAGAAATACTACGAAGAGCTGGAAAAGCAGAGAACAGTAGTGCAGGTGTGTCCTAACCCTTTTTTGTCTCTGTTGTATACCAGTAAATTTGATTCTTAGGCACAAGTGAAGCAGTACATTGCTGAATCAAATGAACGTGTGAAAGCTTATGAAGCTGAAATAGAACGACTTTGTGAAATGAAGCCTTATTCCTCAATGACAATGGAGGAGTTTATTAACTTGCGCCCTGAGTGCTCAAATTATATACCACATCAACGCAAGCCTCTCTTCTGGCCACACGATCCAGACGAGCAGACACCGGGACCAGTCGGTCTGCCGAAAATAGATGCTGGTCGTGGAGGAGGTGATGATGGTGGTAGGGGCGGCAAGCAGCGTGACATTAAAGACAGCATGGAAAGTTTCGAAACTGAGCCCCGAAAGAAGCCGCACCCATGTGATTTGATAAAAACGAAAATAGAGCCTCTTGCTAAAGGAGACGACACCTGCAATACTGCATCTAAGGAACTTTATAAAGATGAAGTAAAGCGTACCGGCGTTTTTGTGGATCCATGCAATGTTGGATTTGGAAAGAAAGCCGATGTTAAGCCAGCGGTTGAAAAAGCTGAATCTAAAACAGAGCCTGAATCACAATCAGTGGAATCTAAAACATCACACCCATGTGAGATAGTCAAGAAAAAATCTAACGCTGATAACGATATATGTAAAAGTGCCTCAAAAAAGGCTCAATTGGTAGATGGCAAACGCACCAGCGTCTTCTTTAATCCATGCAATGCTGGATCTGGCGCAGGGGTAAAAGCAAATGTTAAAGCAGCAGACAAAAAATCCGCAGCAAAGACTGAACCGAAGCTAATGGAACTTAAAAAGACATCACTGGGCGAGGAAGACAAGAAAAAATCTGAAGCCGAAAATGATCCATGTAAGAGTACGACGGAAAATGAGGACCCTAAAGATGGTAAAGATAAGACGCGCGTATTTGTGCATCCATGCGCTTTCGGATCGCACTCGAAAGCAGCTGATTCAAAGGTAAAGAAGACTACATCTGACACTAAGCCATGTACTTCGGAAGTGATTAAACCAAAAGAAGTTAAAAAAACACAACCATGTGACGACGCAAAGAAGCCAAAAGCAGAAACCGATGCGATAAAAGACAAAAACAATTTTACCGTTGTGTTTGCAGATCCCAAAGGTGCCAAATCACCCAAGGATCGTTCCAAGGAAGATAAGAACAAGCTTGACAAGACCTGCGGTGCTCTTCCGTATTACAATCCATTTCGAAGTGAAGAAGAAAATCGAGAAAATGAAGAGAAAATGTGCGAAAATAGCGAACACGATGACCCATGTGCTAAAGATAATATCGAAGAGGAATATTACGATCCATGCAAAGATGACAAATATGACGAAGACAAGTAGTAGTACAGAGTTCACTACGAGACCTTTTGAAGATATGTATATATTTGGAGTTTTTCATCTATATATTTTTCGGGATTTTACTTTGCGTCATTTGCGAGAATATTTTTGCAAATATATATTTTAACAAATTGCCTGAAATGCTGATTCTGACTATTCTGTATACTTTATCAAATACTTAATACTTAAAACAAAAAAAAAAAAAAAGATTCCTGAAGTCCCCATCTGAATTCTATAAGTGAAACCGATGTATGTAAACCGTCAAGCATTTCGAAAAACTATATTAATGGCGAGGCTGTCATGCTACTTGGAAAGGCTTCTAACTTGACAAATTTTTACACACACTAAGTATTCTCGCATCATTCTGAACATCTTTGCTCCTACTCTCGGTCTAAAACCAGATTCGATCCAGCTATATTTAAGATGAAGCTTTTTAGACATTGATCATTTGTCGAAATCGGACAGCTATTTCATATATTGAGATATATGAGAATACAACCGATTATTTAAATTTTTCGCTGGCTTGAAATCGGTTTTAGACCCATAATTATTTGGGCAAAGTTTTTCAGAACGATCCATAGAACACATTATGTATAAGCAATTCCAATACATAAGAGTCTATAGATGATTTTGTGAAAAAAGTTAAGAATCGGTCTAAGTTTCCTTATTTCGCCACTGACTCAATTTCGATTTGACTTACTTTTTTAAGCTCAACATTGTCCTTAACATTTATTATATGAACCTGCCAACAATAAATTTTTATTTTTTAAATTGTGCTTGATCAAAAGTGAGCTGGCGCGGCACCCACTTTGCACAGATCTATCTCATACCCAAATATTCGGGAATGATATAATGTACACTTTGAGTTAACTTTTCTCGAATTTACTTCTCTCCAAATGGTATAATTTACAAGCTAATGATCCGGCAACTATCAAACTTTTATATGCGCTTTTTAAAGGTTAGGGCTAACTAGAAATCATGTAGATTAAATTATGATAGCGTCACTTATGGGTCAGACCGGGGCTCTGCTTAAGTTGCAGCTGGAAAAAATACTGAATTGAAGTGGTTTCAAATTGGTTGCGGAGTCAAGCTTCTGTCAAAATAAGTCTTAATATATTTATATGTATCTCTATACAAAAAATTTTATTAGCGCAGTACAATTACATAATTAGATGACTACTTCACTAGACATTACTGTAAAAGGTGGTTTGACAATCTCAAGGATATTTTATAGCTCTAAAAAGTCATATTTCTCATGGTGAACTTTAACTGGCTTTATTAGAATGCTTACCGTTTAGTCCAATTCAGATTTCTACATATTCAATTTTGAACTGTAAACTAAAGCTTCATTGAAATAGGTTAATGGCGAAAATGTAATCTTTATTCAAAACATAAATGAGCTAAAAATAGCAATACTAGTCGAAATAAAATAAATATAACAGAGTATTACTACTACAATCAGTACACCCACACCGTACCCTGTAGGGACAATTAAATGCGTGACTCTTCAGATTTGTGAAACAGTGAAAATAATTAATTACCTTTCAATATTAGTGGGGAACTGTTGTGGATTTCGCAACTTATAACAACAAATAGATGTTTTTGTAAATAAGTTACCTATGTAAAAATCATACCTGAGCACAAACAGCACACAAATACATATACTTTCTCACACTGACTTTCAAACTCAAGTATTTAATTATGCAAAAATTATTAAAAATTATTTCAAAGTGATTCCACGTTCTATATATATATATATATTATTTATTACGTAACAGTTTCTAGTTCTCAACTTTATGCTATGAAAAAATAATAATTTATATCCCATTTTCGCTTTCTATAGAAATTATTTACCAGCAGGGTTCCACTGAAATGGCGAAAACGGTTTGCACGCACGCAAGGCCCAACTTTGTTTATGCAAATATAGGTGGAAAGTATGTACATTAGCAGCCTAAAAGCTTAAGTATTTAGCGCGCTATAAATTTTCAATAACAATAACAACACGTAGCTATGAAAATAACGGTTCGAATGTGCCGTGTTGGCAGCGGCAACGGCAGTCATGCAATGAATTACAATAAATACACTCACGTGAATTGGAATATTTGAATGCGAAATACCAGAAACACAAAAGTTTGGCTCATTTACATGAAGCGCTATTTTTTTGTTTGCCTGCTGGAGTCGAGTATTAAGCGGAATGGTAGGTGAAGTGAAAACAAGTGAAAGCAAAAGCTGTTTTATGAGATATTTTATAACAAACCTTTGTTAAATTCGAAAAGGAAATAATTCAGGGTTATAATTTTTTTTGTTGCTATTAAAGTTTTTGAATTAAAATTTCAGATAAATTTATTATTAAATTAATCTGCGAACTGGACTTATTTACCAAACACGCATTTTAATGTAAGTCACAATGATATCTGCGTAAGCAAAACTTGGGGTACATAACTACTAGATCGCGCGGTTAAATATTTTCAAAAGTGAACGTGGTCTCATCGTCTAATAAGCGTATTGTACATATCTTGTCAAAAAATCAAAATCATGCTGTATTTATTTATTTATTTTATTTATGGTTTGGGGCGCTGATCAACGCATTGTATTGATCTATGTGCTTCTAGCAATAGAAAGCGCCGTGGAGTTTAGTCTTCGTAGACAGGTATTCACGTAAAAACACATTGACATTCTGTACCAGTAGGGCTAAAACGGTGGGGTCTCTGTGGATCTTTTCACCAACTGGATTGAAAATAAGCTTATAA